GGGTTTAATATTTTTCCTAGAACTTTTTTTTTTTTTTTTTTTTTTTTTTTTTTTTTTTTTTTTTTTTTTTTTTAAAAAAAAAAAAAAAAAAAAAAAAAAAAAAAGGGCATTTTACCTCTGCTGCTCCTTGAGGAAAGGAAAGAAAGTGACAATTTGGAAAGGGATCCGAAAAGATGAAAGCTTCACCCACTCCTTTCCTCCCTACTTCTCCCTAAATCATTTTCAAAAGTGCCACTTGTCCAATGATTTCCTTAGTTTTTTGGGGTTTTTTTAACTGGAAATATTGTCCTTTATGAGCAACCAAAAAAGAGAAGCAGATAGTATTTCAGAAGCCATAAAACAAGCTCTGAAATCTGAAGCAACCATACAAACCTTATAAGAGAGAAAAATATTATCATAGCTGTGGTTATAAATCAGAGCAGTTAAAAACAGGTAATGCGCATCTTCAACCAGAAAAGGAGCTCGAAAGCCAGCATTAAGCTAAATGTCAAATTTGTCCTGAAAAAAAAGTGGGAATTAAAAGGCAGGCAGCATTTTTGATACATCTGCTTAATTGTGGGGAGTTTTTTTTACCATTTCCCAGCTATACATTTAGATTCCGAGGTCCTTAAACAGCTCCCTCTATTCTAACCAGCAGGGAAGATATCTGCTATTTCATTTCTTTCATTCAGAGGAAAGTGAGTATTTTTTTTCTCTCTCTCACCTCCTGTGCATCAAACCGCAGGATCTCCTTCATGTAGGTGGGCAGGAGGGTGAGAAGGGTGTAGAAAGTCCAGTTGTAGGAGAAGTGAGCCACAACGATAGCCCAGAGCGGGATGGACTCCAGCATCGGCCTCCAGGGAACAGATTTCTGCGTAGAAAGCTAGTGAGCAGGACAGAGAGGGGAGAAAGAGTGACCAGGGCATCGAGGTTAGCATTTACTAAACACAGTGGTTTGATTCTACCCAAATCTATGCTGATGGTTCATTCTGAAGGGCATTAAACAAGTCTCAGTGGACAGATGCAGGTGCATGGCTGTGCTCGGCTCTCGCGGAAGGTATATTGATGCATGTCACTGCTCTGTCCTTTACTGCTGCAAAATAAACCCACTACTTTTATGTTCCATAATCCAAATTTGAAAACGCAGCCCTTCCCTTGCTGAGATTTGTTGCCTCCTGCTTTCGCTACAAACGATTAAATATTCCCAGTCACCCCTCACGTTTATTTAGCTGAATCTTTCCCACTCAATCCTAAACATTAACTTTAGTCCCTCAGCCCCACAGGCTGCAAATTCCTGTCCCCGGGCACAGGAACCAGCCCTGGGCACACTTGAGGAATGGCTCATTACCATTCTCAAAATGTCTTCTCCACAAACAGTAATCTCTTTCTCCCCAGAAGACACATTGAAAAGAAGTTGTATAATGTTGTATTGCGAAGTTTAAAGACATTATACTGGTCTGCATCTCATTTATAAGGAGAAGTGACAGACTCGAGCTTTTTATTTTAAAAGCACAGCAACGTCATCTGTGACAAAAGGCATTATTACAAATGCTGTGTTTGATTACCAACTGTTTCTCACTTATACAACTGCATTGTATTTCCAATTTCTTGTTTGAGAAATTCTGCCTCTATCTCAGATTCAGGATGTTTTTCTACACATAACCCAGCGTGACGCTAATGGCAATATTTGTGATTCATGTCCTTACTTAAGTAAGTATGGCTATACCAAAGTGCTGTACCTGATCTTTGAGAGAAGAGAGTATATATTCTCTCTCAGCATGTGAAATGCTCCTGTGAGTTTCTGGTTTATCACTAACCAACCACATCCAGAAGAAGAACCATAACACGCCAAGAGCACCTATTGTTGGGAAAAGATGGGTGAAGAGATAAGAATAAAAACACAAGCCGTTATATGGAGTGAATAACACTCTCAGATGATTTAGTCAGAAAAATAATGGTTTTGAAATTATATTAGAGTATTTGGAAAAAACTTCCATCTACTTACAGACAATCATTTCCCAAAGTGGCATTAACAATGCACATTTAGAGTAATAAACAATAGAGAACTAAGCAGGAAAGTGGCTTTTTGTCTTTTTTTTTTTTTCTCTTTGTTTTATTTCCTCTTGGAAGTGCCTCGTGCAGCAAGAAAGTTGTGTACCCACACATATTGTATTTTTATCAGTCACATGGAACAGCCACAAGGGATATGGCTCACCCAGAGGAAATAAAAATTCACTCAGTTTAATCACAAGGATATACTCTGTGCACGCACACAGAACATCACTCCCTACAGCTTAACTGATGCACCGATCCTCCTTAGCTTTTCTAAGCCAAACCCCATTTGGAAAAGGTAACTTTTCAGTAGTCAGTCCAAATCAACTGTACTTTTATGTATCTATAACACTGTAACTTACTGCATTTTGTCCAATTCTTTGTATTGAAGGCTTTTTATTTATACAGAAATTGGAGGTGGTTTTGCTGAGGAAAGCATAACCCTTGTCTTTAATTCTGATTCTCCCTTCCCCATGTGGAATACAAACCGGCTCAGACGTGAATAGACGTATGAGAAGCATCAGTTAGGTAGGTCTAAGACATGCTCTTAGTGTTTGAGGTTCTTCTAAAATGTAACTCCCAGCAAACACGCTGTGCCTTGCATTTGGGGTGTTCTTCCAGGGTTCCTGGGACCGCTGGAGAGGCTTTCCCCACCGCTCCCATCTCAAGCAGCAGTAACTTTTCACATGCTCTTTCGTTCGGAGTGGAAGTTTGTTCCTGGGATTAAAGCTATTAACTCAATTTCACACTTCAAACAAGAAATTCCAGCCTGCTGCTTCCAAGTGGCAGGAGAGTTAAGAGCATTTGACTGGTACCAGCTTTTGTCCCACCCAGAGCCAGCTTTGCTGGCTGGAAGCAGGGCTTACACAGCCACGGGCAGGAATCCGCTCAGCTTCCCACATCTCTAACTGCCCAGGAAGAGGAAAATAGTTTTATAATACGCCATGCTTTTCTAAAAGAATATGGATGGTACTTTTAATAATTAAAAAAAAACCCCAACACTTACCAAATATGTAAAACACATAAACCCAGTTCATGTAGTAGCAGATTAAACCAGAGAGCGGCAGAGAGACAACAGTTCCCAGCTGTGCACCTACCAGAAGAAAGCAGAACAGAGTGGAAAACTAACAGTTAATCTCCTGTCGACCCCTTAAACTGAGGCAATTTCGCAGTTATTTTATTTTCTGTAATAAATCCTGCAGAAGAGCTTGGTCCCCACCACTAGAGGGCTGGCACTTCACCTTACAGAAACCCAGGCACAAGTAAAACTGAGCCGCAAAGCCCCAAAACTGCCAGCAAAAAGCAATAAAAGGCAGGTGTTCTTGGCACATTCACCTCCAATAAAGGGATGGCTCTAGCACATCCAGAAGAACACAAATTGGTCAACTGGCATGGCTGCAAATCAGCAGAGAGATGACCTGGGGGGAGACAATACTCCGAGCGGATATAATCAGGTTGCATTTCTCAGCTCCTGCTGCCTCCACAGAAGGAGATGGTGGTGACAAGGGCCAGGAGACACCCGTGTAACCAGCAGGTTCAAGTCTCATGGTCCCTGAGTTCAACAGGGTGTAGGGTCAGGCAAGGAAGAAGGGAAAGACAAGCAGATTCCAGTTCAGATACAAGCCAAAAGCAAGAAAGAACTACTCTTGAGTTTATACAAAGATGCATACACAAATCAGCAGAGAGATGACCTGGGGGGAGACAATACTCCGAGCGGATATAATCAGGTCAAGGGCCAGGAGACACCCATGTAACCAGAAGGTTCAAGTCTCATGGTCCCTGAGTTCAACAGGGTGTACGGTCAGGCAAGGAAGAAGGGAAAGACAACCAGATTCCAATTCAGATACAAGCCAAAAGCAAGAAAGAACTATTCTTGAGTTTATACAAAGATGCATACATCTACAAAGATGATGAGGGGCCTAGAACATCTCTCTTGCGAGGAGAGGTTGAGGGACTTGGGTCTGTTTAGTCTGGAGAAGAGAAGACTGAGAGAGGAACTCTTCAATGGTTCTAAATACTGAAAGGGTGGGTGTCAGGAGGATGGGGCCAGGCTTTTTTCAGTGGTGCCCAGGGACAGGACAAGAGGAAATGGGCACAGACTTGACCATAAGAAGTTCCATCTAAACCTGAGGAGGAACTTTCCTGTGAGGGTGGCAGAGCCCTGGCAGAGGCTGCCCAGAGAGGTGGTGGAGTCTCCTTCTCTGGAGACATTCAAATCTCCCTGGACACGTTCCTGTGGGACCTGCTCTGGGTGACCCTGCTCTGGCAGGGGTTGGACTGGATGATCTCCAGAGGTCCCTTCCAGCCCCAGATCATTCTGTGATCACAGATCACATGTGATTCTGTGATGCAATATACGCTTTGCAAAGGATGGCAGGCTCCCCCCTCCTGCCCCAAATCTAAACCAGAAGCCCAACCCGTGTAATTTACAGTTAGGAACTCTGCTGGTGATAAGCAGCAGACCTTGTCTCTCAACGTCAGTTACATGATCACTTCTCCAAACCTAATCTCAACTCAGAAAACATGATATTATGTGGATAGGCTGGCTACCTAGAGTCTGTCTTCATGGAAACAATTTTGAGGCAGAAAGCTTTAACCACAGAAAACAAAACCACATACTCCATGCAAAATATAAATCAAAATAACAACTACATATAACCTCAATCATATGCTCTCTTAGAAAATCAACAGGATCATGATTAAACGAACCACAGACCACATGACTGCCAGCTGTGAAACTGTGGGGAGAAGGAAACGCTCTGCTAAGGTCAGACAAGACACTTTCTCCATCCTTGACTGCTGACAGCTGGCCACCAGCACACCAGCATGGAGTGTCACAAGATACAAAAGGACAGTTTAAAAAGCTCCCAGTTGTTAAATGCAGCAGATATCAGTCCTGACTCTCTGCTTAACATGTGTGCTGGCTCTCACATGGAGACTTCTTTTAAAGCAGATTTAATTCACTAACATGGCAGGAAAGAGATACACCAACAGAAAGAGAAAAAGCTTTGTGTTGCATTAGGTGGTTTCAAGCGGCTCAGGGAAGGGTCTGATGGGCACCTGAAACGGCACACAGGAAGGAATGAGACACTTGGCTAGGAGGGAAGTGAGAAAATGTGAGGAAAAAAGGCTTAAGACTTTGTTCCTGCTGACACAAGAGAGCCCTAGACTGGCTTAGCTGCTTGAGAAGCTGTAGCTGTGGTTTCCCCATCTTCTTGATGAAGCCCAGGTCGAACAAGAAAGATGTAACAGAATTAATACCAACACGAGTGAGTAAAACAACATTACTTCATTAAGTGAATGCAAAATTTGTCATCCTCAAATAATGTTATTTTTGACTAGTGAATTTAGAAAGCTACATTTTTCACTTGCCCCACAAATACTGCATCAGAGCAATAAACCCCTGAGCCAGGAGAAGGCTCAGCAGAGATGGGGAAGAGCGATGTGTTGGTGAAGCTTGGGGAATACACTGGGAATACAGCTGCTGCACAGAAAGCTGGCTTTACCTCAGCACCCCGGGGAGCAGGGGTGGCCTTTGATTCAGATGAACAGTTGAGTGGGTCAGATGGTGGGGGAAATCACTCTACGCAGTGATTCTGCCCCAGCTTTTTGTTCCTAATACTAAATGTCCTTTATTTACAGCAACTTCTATTAATCACCTTCACAGTGACTCTTGGCACTACCTTATACCAAAGTGAGTCTGCAGTTTACACTTAGCTGCAGATCAATACCCTTTCTCAGGGTGATAAGAGCCATGAATAAATGAAGATAATGAACGCAAAGCAAGATTTAATTCAACATTACGCTTTCCAGGCTAAATGCTGATTAAAATTTGTAATATAAATCCCTTTGATTTAAGCCAATCCTCCCCGCTAACCGCAGTAAAAAATGTCTAATCCCGTTTCCAGCGTGGGAATGTCTCACCTGCATAGGAGATGCTCAGGAGCTTGCTGCGTTCCAGGGGGGGGGCCCAAGAAGACCACATCGAGTGCATCGCTGGGAAGGTAACGCCCTACAAAACAGCATTTCACTCTCTTGAAACGGGACAACTTTGGGACTCCCTTAAACTTCGCAGGTTTCAAAGCACATTGCATTAAGCAGCGGGAGTAAAATCTGTGAATTTCTTGTTAATTTCTTGTTTAGCAAGAAGCCGCTTTAAAAACAAAAAAAAAAAAGGGGTGCAAGGGCTGAGTAAGCAGAATTCATTTCTGCTGCTTTTCATTCTGTATATACTCGAAAAGCTGCAAGAAGATAAACGATACTGTTCTGAGCTCTTGGTTTCTGACAAGTGAGAAGGGATAATTCTAGTTTTGTCTCAAGTGTCCTTACAAATAAAACCTTTTTTCTTATTCAAAAAACTTAGGCTAAAATACAGGGCAAACTTTTTAATCATTCCAAAATACTACAACTAAGCTACTCCAAAGGAAACAATACATATACTGCTCCAGCACACCAACACCCACAGGGTTTAATCACTCCCGTCATTAATAAAATGATGCAGATACGTTTCTAAGTTCTGCAGAGCAAAAAGATTACCTCTCCCAGTCCTTCCAAGACTCTGACAGCTATGAGGTAGCCAACCCCCAGGTTTGCAGCTAAGGGTGTCAGCAAGGTGAACACTGAGGTTCCAAAAATGCCAAACCCCAGTAGCAGCTTCCCTCCGATCCTGCTGGCAAGATATCCTCCTGGAATCTGAGTAATGATATAGCCATAGAAAAACGAACCCAGGATCCATCCCTGAGTATCAGCATCCCAAGAATACTTTTCCCCCTAAAAAGAGAAAAAAAACAAACCAAAATGCAGTAAGTTCAAAATACCCAGTTTGTGTGAGTGCAAATCCCACCTCCATGTCACCGGCGTGGACATTGTCATGCTCTAGAAAATGGCTCTTCCTGCAGAAAATATACAGGCAGAAAAGCAAACAAGGAGATGCAGGTGCTTAAATTGAATACAAGGAGAGTGAGCAGCCAAGGGCAGGACTCACAAGGGCAGGTGGGAGAAGGGGAGAAGTGCAGCAGAGGGAGGATGAATTCAGCAGACAAAGTAATAAAAGCAAAGCTGATGGAGACAAGGAGCCTGAAGCTATAAAGGAAGTCAGCAAGAGGACACGAGCTGCTGCCCAATAAAGTGATTTTTGAAGTTTGGGATCATTTCCAAAAGCCCAATTTATGAGCATCTAAATGAGCAGCATACATTTCACGGAAGCGATGAGACAGAATCTTCTTCCCATAAAGTTTGCAGTTATAAATTGCTCATGATAAATAATAAATGACCTCTAAACAAACAAACAAAATGAAGGCAGGAAGACGGCAAGAGAGCTTGGCAATAAAATTCAATTAGCAGGTGAGATGTATGCAAGGCCAAATTCACAAAGTGGGCTTTTTTGGTGGATTTTTTTGTCTGTTTTGTTTTGGTTTTTTTTAAAGTATTTTCTCACATCCAACAGTTAAGAAATGTGGTTTTAGTGATTACTGGAAGGGAAGTGAGAGATAAAGGAGATAAAGAAAAGAAACATGATCTGGGAAAGAGATAAAAGAAGTGAGAAGGAAAATATTACATGTTAATTTGTAATGAAATTTCATGTCATTGAGACTGTGGGGAGAACAGGCAAATACAGACAGAGATGGGAGCTCTGACGCAGATGTAACAGGAGCAGTTGATCACCGGCACATAAAGCAACGAGTCAGAGCACATCTACAAGATTAGCCAATTTGTACAGAAAAACACAGAAAGGATGTACGTAAAAAAAAGCTGACCCTAAGCACAGCTTTTAAATTAGCTGGTCATTTAAGGCTATTATTTTCCAGAACAGCTTCAGAGGAACCACTGCAAAGGGCATCTGGTAAAGAGCTGCCTGTTCTCTCGCCACCTAAGCATGAGTCATCAATCCCAGATTCTCATTACAAACGTTTTTACAGGCCACATGACAGGACAGCAAGTTTGCGAGCTCACCGTTGTGTTGCGAGGAACGTTTATGGTGGAAGAATGCTCTGGGCACACGTTGGAAGTGGTGTTCTTGGCTAAGCTTATGTTGGGCTCTACCATGTCCACCAGAGCAACGCTCAGGTTGACGCGCAAGGCGTACAGCAGGAAGAACCCGAAAAAGGCCAGCAGTGCCAGGTTGTAGCGAGCTGAGCAGCACACGGGGACTGGAACGAGAGCAAACCAACATTTGCTGCTTTAACAGAACCCAACAAGAATAACCAATAAGCGGTTTTTACTAATAATCCAGACATTTACAGGTAAGAAAAAGTAGGCGAGAAAACAAGCTCATTGTTCTAGTCGTAACTGGGGGGATAGGCTGAGGGTGGAAAAAAAATGAAAGCTCCCACTTCTCTGCTGATGTGCAAAAGAAATGCAATTCTGGTTTACACAACTCCCTGCCAAGTGCAGGGGCTTCAGTGGAAGCGTGCTGTGGGGAAATGGAATTAGAAACGTGGGATTTAGAAGTCCTCTTCAAAATACTGTAATACTTTTTCATGTAGAACTTGACAGCAGAAACCCCACAGGACTAGCAGGAAGCCTGACATACACGTGAACACAGTTCAAGAAAAAGCAGAGAGTCTTGAAGTCATGTTAAAGAACGTTCACTGGGATTCCAGGCTCTTTTCTGGCACCAGTTTCCCTGCTGTAAGCGTGCTTATGAAGGACTATTCCTTTGCCAGCAGCTCCCAAAGAGAACACCAGCAGAAAGGGGAAGCGCAGGAGCTTCCCTGCTGCCCACTGTGCCCCTCTCCTGCGCTCACAACAGAGAAAAACGAGTCTCAGAGTCAACATCAAACCTGTGCTGTGCATTAAGATGACTCTCCCAGCTGGTAAAACCCGGATATCAGACTTTGGACTGCAACACGGCTGTTGATTCCCTTCCACTGTAAACACATGGCAGCTCTTGGCAGAGATCCCTCATCAATACCAGGAGATTCCGGTCTGACTTGAGCCGTAACTTGCCCAGCACATCACCCAGCAATAAATTTTCTATCTATACAAAATCCAGCTTGCAGCTCTGCAGATGCTCTTTATGAGCTGGGGGTGCCTGAGCCTACTGAGCAGAACTGTTGAGAAACCACTGAAGAATCTGCTGAGCTGACAGATAGTTAGGGGGTGGAGTTTCCCCCCTCGTGAGGAAACTACGGAGCTAACGGAAAATTTTATAACCTGGACGTCTGAAACTCCAGGAGGGCTGGGGATCAGCACCTGCAGATATTACATCAGTCTGCAGCCATCTCATTTTTCTCTGACTATTCAGAATTCAAATTATGGATAGAACAAGGATATCTATGATAGAACGGGGCTGACTGGAGCCTGATCTGCTATCGCAATGCCTCCTGGCTGGATCCCCTCATCTGCAACAAGAACCACAGAATGGTTTGGGTTGGAAGGGACCTTAAAGATCATCTAGTTCCAACCCCCTGCCCTGGGCAGGGACACCTCCCACTAGAGCAGGTTGCCCAAAGCCCCATCCAGCCTGGCCTTCAACACTTCCAGGGATGGGGCATCAACGACCTCCCTGGGCAACCTGTTCTAGTGCCTCACCACCCTCATAGTAAAGAATTTCTTTCTGGTATCTCATCTAAATCTCCCCTTTTCCAGTTTAAAATCGTTGCCCCTTGTCCTGTCACTGCACTTCCTGACAAAGAGTCCCTCCCCATCTCTCCTGTAGCCCCTTCAGATATTGAAAGGCCACTATAAGGTCCTCCCGGAGCCTTCTCTTCTCCAGGCTGAACAACCCCAGCTCTCTCAGCCTGTCTTCATAGGAGAGGTGCTCCATCCCTCTGATCATCTCTGTGGCCCTCCTCTGGACCCGTTCCAACAGGTCCATGTCCTTCCTGTGTTGAGGACTCCAAAGCTGGACACAGAGCTCCAGCTGGGGTCTCACAAGTGCAGAGTAGAGGGGCAGAATCACCTCCCATAACCTGCTGGCCACACTTCTCTTGATGCTTTCTGGGCCGCCAGTGCACATTGCTGGCTCATGTTGTGATCTCATCCACCAACACCCACAAGTCCTTCTCCTCAGGGCTGCTCTCCAGCCATTCTCTGCCCAACCTGTATTTGTGCCTGGGATTGCCACGTCCCAGGTGCAGGACCCTGCACTTGGCTTGGTTGAGAAGCAAAAAGGGTGCTCTGGGACAAGCTTTCTAAAGACCCCCTACCACTCCAGAAACAAGGAATGAGCCTGCGTGACTTGGTCTTTTTCAGTGAGGGGACTAAAGGAGCCTTTCTGCAAGGCTATTTGTCATTAAAGTAGCAAAACCCTCCCACTTTAGAAGCCTCTGACCCTGACCAACTCTATGTGACATTCCTTATGGCTGCACAAGTCCTGGAAATGACGCAGAGGGGCTGTATTTGATGGGGGCTCAGTAAGTGAGGCTGCTGTACCCATCTGCAAAGTGCCTGCCAGACCTGCGGTCATTGCCAGTCTGGCCCCAGCAGCATTTGAAAAGAGGCACATCTGATATTTAAATGCCATGAAGGAGAACAGCCAAGATTTTATTGCTTACTTTAAAAAAACAATAAGCACCACGAGCAGGAAGCGCTTACCATACAGAAACTAGTCATGCGGCTTCATTGGCCTTTATTGGTGTTTAAAAAGCAATTTGCCGTAAGTAGAAAATGTATAGTCATATAATTTATAACAATGAATACAATTACAGGTAAAGCTTTCCACTGCCCATATTTCCTGGGGTTAAGCAATACCAACAGAAGGATGAAAAACACCCTGTTGAAGTAACCCTTCCTTGGAAATGCAGATTAACTGGAACATCCAGTACTCTCCCTCTGGAAGGTTCTTACCGGTACAGACCGTGTCTGGAGAGCAAGCTCCACAAAGCAGATGCACAAGAACTTAAGGTCACTAATGTCACCATAAATAGTTTATCATAAAAATATAACAAATATGTAGATCTGCAAGTCTGACACAAACAGCTGCTGAAGTATTGCTTCTCGATCTTTCCACTGAGTGCATCTGCAATACCTGAGAATATTAGATTAGGTTAAGAGAATGGAAAATTTGAGAAGATTCCAGATGCGTTTCAGTGACCCACCTCTCCAGGAGATTGCCAGAATCAGAGACACACAGAAATTCATCCCCCCCACAGTTTAAGACAGCTACCCACGATGTTCACGGTCTTACCTTGACTGGCAGTCTGGGGTCCTGCATCTACAGTTAATTCGGATTGCAGGGGCATGTTTTATAATACTGCAGCTATAATTGAAGAAGATTCTTAAACTGCAGTTAAAAAGCCAGCTCTGTGCTGCAAGTTGCACAGCAGCTAAAGGAAGTTGTTCTTCTGGTGTATTTTTCCTTGTGGCCGAGGTGACCCACCTCAACTGGGGCGTGATGTGTTGTGCAAACTTAAGAAAGTATTGCTTTAATAACCGACTTGAACTCAACTTTCCCTCATTCCAGCACTTTTAAGTCATTTTGTTAGCAGCCCCTCTGACTGCAGCTAATAGGCTTCCCGAGGAGGTTGGAGAATTTTTGCACGGTGTACTGAAAAAACTCAGCATCTCACTTCATAGTTTGTCTGTTCTGGGAAACCAAACAGCACAGATACCCCCTGAACACATTAGCTGTGTCACAGAATGGTCTGGGTTGGAAGGGACCTTTAAGGTCATCGAGTCCAACCATCAACCCAACACTGATAAAAACCACCACCGACCCACGTCCCTCAGCACCACATCTGCCCGGCTTTTAAACACCTCCAGGGATGGTGGCTCCACCACTGCCCTGGGCAGCATCTTCCAAGGCTTAATAACCCTTTCAGTGTAAAAACTTTTCTTAATATCCACCCTAAACCTTCCCTGGTGCAACTTGAGGCCGTTTCCTCTTGTCCCATGGCCTGTTCCTTGGGAGAAGAGACCGACCCCCCCTGGCTACACCCTCCTTTCAGGGAGTTGGAGAGCGCGAGAAGGTCTCCCCTCAGCCTCCTTTTCTCCAGGCTGAACACCCCTAGCTCCCTCAGCTGCTCCTCAGAAGTTCTCCAGACTCTTCTCCTTGTCTTCAGACCCCTCACCAGCTCCGTTGCCCTTCTCTGGACCTGCTCCAGCCCCTCAAGGTCCCTCTTGTCATGAGGTCCCCAAAACTGGGCACAGCCCTCGCGGTGGGGTCTCCCCAGTGCCCAGTCCAGGGGGACGGGAGCCTGTTGGTTAAGACCCCCCTCTCTACAATTACCTTCATGACACCTTCCACCTCCCTTCCTCCCCACGCTGCCATAACAAGCCCTTAGTCTTACTCAAATTCTGCCTTAATAAATGAAATTCTGCCACGAGCCGGGCGGACGGCAGCAATCACTAATTGCGGGGCGGGCACTTCGGGGGGACTCCTTGTCCCCAGGGCGGGGACCGCACACCCCGGCGGGCATTTACCGGCGATTTCCGTAGCCCCCGCCACCAGCGCCCAGGACAAACCGACCCCCCGGTCCCCGTCGGGGCGCAGGGCC